GTGCCATGTCCTCCCTCAGGCTCCCTGGGCCCAAGTCCTCCTCTGCTCAGGGACCACTCTGGGCCCAGGCTTCACATGCTGGGACTGGGAGCAGATCATCTGGACCTTCTGGATTCGCACTTCCGTGCCCATGACATGGGCACAGGCCGGCCTCACAGACTGCTCAGACGAGACCCAGCACAGGAAGATGCAGGCCGCTGCAAGGGGAGATGCCAAGTGACCCCGGAGGGAGCTCACAGGCCTTGTGCAAGGCACTGGGCTCATGGGGTCCAGTGTGGGATGCAGGCGCCCAGCCAAGGGGCATGGGGAATCCTGGTGAGGGCGGCCCTGGCAAGTGGGGGAGGGGGAAGCCACGGAAGGGTCTCAGAAGAGGCAGGAGACAAGGAAGAGGACAGGACAGAGCTTCCCAAGGATGGAAGGATCAAAGGATCACAGAGACCCTTGGGAAAACTCGGAGGCCCTAGAGATGTTGGCTGAAATGCTGTCATTTGGTCAGAAAAGTTGTGTCATGACCACCCAGTTGACACTGGATGATTTACTCTTTGTTGGTTCTAGGATTCAGTGCGTACCTGCCATTAGAACTCAGATTGCATGAAATCTAGGATATACTTACTTTTCATCACTTTTCAGGACTAGATTTTTCTAGAGGAAGTGCTAAGCATGGCTCTCTCCATTCTTTTCTTTGTGCCACTGGCCTCTGTTTTCAGGAGCATATTCCTGGTGCTCATCACCACTGCTAGCCCTGAGGACTGCCCCTTGTCACCTCCCACAGTGGACATGACCGTGTGGGTTGGGCGGTGCTCACTGATGAAACCCCAGTGCTTGGTATAGAGCAGGGACCCCAGATCCTCTGCTGAATGAGGGAGGGCATGAGGGAGGATGGGAATGAGGGAAAGAGAGAGGGAGGGAGGATGGGAGAGAAGGAGGGGAGAGAGGGAGGAGGGGAGGGAGGATGGGGAGAGGGAGGGGAGAGAGGGAGGAGGAAAGGGAGGGTGGTAGGGATAGAGGGGAGGGAGGCAGGGAGGCAGGGAGGATGGGACGGGTGGAGGGGAAGGAGGGGGGAATGAATGAGGGAGTGAATAAATGATGTAGGGAGGGAGGAAGTGAAACCATAGAAGCTGGATCCATACCTCAGGAGCCATTATTTGGGGTGAGGTCTGAGGGCATCACAGCCTGGGCCCTGGATGGTGGCTCAGGGCACGTCCAACTGTCCTTCCAGTGCTGACCTTCCTTCTCCTTGGACCCGCTGTCATCCTGGATCCTCTCCACCTCCTCCTCAAACAATTCTCAATGTTCCCAGGAACAGGGTGACAGGAGGGGGTCTCAGGAGGGGCTTCCCGGATCCTGTGCCCCAAACGACAATGTGACAGTAGCTACAGGGCATTCTATCATGAGGACTGGGACCATGGCCCCCATCCATCTCCTTGGGCATTAGCGTTGTTCCATTCCCTGCTCTCTTCACCACCGCTGTGATGAACACTCCTGAAAATACATCTGTGAAAAACCGAGCCAGAGTTTCCAGGGGTTAGTCCGAGGCCGAGCGTGCCAGGTGATGGGTGTGCCTGCGGCCTGGGATGGGTGCTGATCACTGTTCTCCCAGACAGGGGTGCCCGTCACCCTTTCCTCCAGGGGACCTGCATTGGACCGCCGCTTCCTCACGTTCTCCCCAGACCAGACACCTGCCAGTCTGAGGGTGACCAGCACTACCTCCATAGGGTTTCCTTTGCCGGAATCCTTCCCCAGGAGCTCCACATCTCTGACACATATTCCCTGCATACCTATCCTCCCCCTTGGACTGGCGTGTATTTGGTCTCCATCCCTGTGGAACCCAGTGACTTGGAGCGTGGTTTGGACCAGAGTCAGGTGAAACCTTTCTCTGGCCTTGGGTTGTGAGCAATGCTTTTGCCCTTTGTGGTGTGTCTTCCAGCTTTCTGCATTTCCCTGGTTTCTGTGTGGGCCACGGGAGGAACCAGCCGTTTCCTGTCTGGGGTCAGGCTGTGGTGTCCCAGCAGGAACAGGGGTCTCGGCCCCGAGATTGTGCCCATAATTCCTAAAGCGGCCTCTCTGATTACATCTGATCTGTAATCCATCGGGGATTTCAATATCGAATAAGGGAAATTCTATGTCAAATAAACACAGAAGAAAACGAATCCCCTGTGAAAATAGGTGGGCAGACACAAAGGCACCTATTGTGTGATTCCACTTACAGAAACATCAGGAATAGGTAAAGAGACAGAGAGAGAAAGCAGCTTAGGGGTTTCCAGGGTCTGGGCTGGGGGAGAAATGGGCAGGGGGTCTTCTGGTTCGGGGACTCCTTTGGGGCATGAGACATTCCGCAGCAATGTTCTGTGGTGTGGTGGCACAGCGTTGGGAATGTACTTAATGTTCATGATGTGTTCAATTGAAAACAAGTAATTGTATTTAAAACAAATAATAAACAGTATATAGGACATGGAAGGATAAAATAACAGTTAATATGTACCAGATAGAAAGAACATAGGAGGAGGGGATGAAACAATCTGGTGGGGCGTCGGGGTCCGGCGATGGAACTAAGGGTAATTGTACAGGGAGCTCTTCCAGCAGGGCTGTGGGCTCTGGATGGGGCTCTGGGAGCCCTCCGGGAGCAGGAGTAGGGGCAGGGGTTAGGATAGGGGCAGGGCCAGGTGTAAGGGACAGGTGTAAGAGCAGGGCCAGGGGTAGGGCCAGGGGCAGGGGCAAGGGGAGGGATGGGGTCAGCAATAGTGGCAGGTGCAGGATCCAGGGCAGGAGCTAGGTGAGGGGCAGGAACAGTAGCAGGAGCTGGGTCAGGGGCAGGAACAGGGGCAGGGGCTGGGGCAGGAGCAGGTGCCAGTTCTTACTGGGCCACGTCAGGCTCTCTGTGGGTGGGTGCTGGGTCACCTGCCGGCTCCTGGTCTCCTCTTGAAGTTGCTGCAGGCACCACCCCTCCGTCCAGAGCTGCCGATGGAGTTGGAACCGGCTCTAGCTCCTCAGGTGGTGGAGCAGCTGTGAGAGGAGAAAAGCTCACCTCGTGCCTGCTCTCCGTGGGCCTTTGTGGAGATAGAACCCGGCCCAGGGCCTCCCAGAGAAGCCACAGTCAGGAAGGAGCCCTCACGGGGACGTCTTCCCAACTGCAGTCCACCCGCTGGGCGCTCTGAGCCCAGTCGTTGCTACTGGCTCCACACCAGCCTCTGGGGGCTCGTCCCTGTGGGGCCAGCCCCCACCCTTCCGCACACACCCACGGGCACCCAGCCCCGGGCTTCTCAGCCTCAGGCTCGGCCTCCGTGGGCTCCGGCTCCTGGAGCACAATGCAGTCAATGACCACCAGGGACAGTGGTCTGGGTGGTGTCGGAGGCCTCTCCCCGCAATCCCCAGCACCTGCTCCAGGGGAGTCCTGTGGGGTCACGCTCCAGATCCCGGACATGGAGTGGGTGTCCGCCAGCCTCGTGCCGATCTCATCGGAGGTCTGCAAAGACAGGGACGGGTAGCCGGCCCGGAGGCATCCCAGTCCTGCCCGGCCAACCTCCCTGTCCCCTGCCCAGTCGCCCTGCTGCTCCCAGATCAGACACACACCTGTGGGTGCACAGCCCTGCACGCGGGACAATGACCCATCCCTGCAGGGCGATCGAGATAAACCCTGGGCAGAAGCTCACAGCCCCCCACACCCCGTCCCACCCAGCCAGCCTGGACCTTGAACATGACCTGACCACGGGTTATCTGACCCCTCATCAGCCTGCTCTTGAATGGCGTTGGCCCACCCCACATGACCCCTCTTCACACACACACACACACACACACACACACACACACACACACGGAGGGGAGGGGACCTGGGGCTGCACAGGTGGATTAGACCCTGTGGGGCTGGGTGGCCGGCTCTGGGCCTCCTGGTGTCACCTTTCGGGCCTTCCGGCCAAACGGCCAGAGGCGGTGGGGAGCCCTGATTGGACATCCCCAGCGGGGGCCAGCGTTTGCAGGGCGAGCTTTCTTCAGCCTGCAGCCTCCAGACTTAGGGAGGCAACAAGCCCACATGTTCATGGTTCGATGATCTCCGACGAAATGAGCTGGGCAGGGGGCTGTCTCTGGAATGTGGGTGCCTGGTTACCTGGGTTCCAAATTCTGTTGGACTCTGTTGTCAGGGAAGTGAGGTCGCCACTGCCTGGGGTCCCCTTACCCAACTTCCTCCTCACACAAGACCCCCACCCCCGAGGGCCCCCTACCCCAGCTGCTCAATGCTCCCCCTCCCCCCATGCCCCATCCATACAGTGACTCCCTCACAGCCCACCCACAGCCTTCCCAAGGCCTGGGTGCAGCCGGTGTCCCCACTGTGGGGACACAGAACTGGCTTCAGACTGGGCTCCTGTGCGTGCCCAGGGCTGTGACCCAGGACAGACCCTGTGCCTCTCAGGGCCTCCCCAGGCTCCCCATCTGCACATTGGGGTATTCTGGCTTCTACTCCTAGGGACGCCATCAGGGGTAGGACCTCTACATACATTCCGTACCTGCTATCACAGGAGGCTGGGGCACACTTGGCAATGCAAGGATGAGCCAGGGGCTGGGCAGGACATGGAGCACAGCTCAGAGGGGCCTGGGTCTGCTCTGGGGTCTGGGCAAAGCCACCCCCTTCTTGCCTGTTCCCAGCCCCTGTGGGAAGGTTGCAATGAACGGATTCCGACCTTGTCCCCTGGTGATGCACACTTCCAGGGGCTCCCATTAGGTTTAGGCTTAGGCCCTGGGGCCTCGTCTGCGCCCATGTGCTGGGCAGTCCCCACAGTGGTTCCCGGGCATTCCCGCATCCTGCTCACACATCCCTGTGGAATCCCCTCCCCTCCGAGGTGGATGGCCTGTGTGACCGCGCTCTCAGGAAGAGAATGGGGCAAAATGCTGGGATGTCATTTCCAAGCTGATAGAGGAAAGTCTGTGACTTCTTCTGGTTCCCTCTGTCGTGTGTTCATTCTCCGTCTCCTTATCTGTTTCTGTCTCTGTCTCTGTGTCTCTTACAGGAGCAGGATCTGTGGACTCCAGGGGTGATGTGAGAAACCTCAGAAGCCTCCCTTGTCCGTGTTTCCCTCTTCTGTCCTGGTGCTCCATTCTTTCCTAAGGCCTTGTCACCCGGACCAGAGCAGTGAATCTGTAACCTCTTCCAAAGGGAGACCCGGAGGCTGCAACAAGGAGGGTCTTGGCCTTGGTTCCCAGACTAGTGGTCAGTGCTCTGCCACGTTCTGCGTACCCAGGTCCTCAGCCCCCCAAGCCCCCAGTCTGTCCCCTGCTCAGAAGGACCTCGAGGGAGTACAAAGCATTTTCCCAGGACTGGGAGCACAGTGGGTCGGGGATGGAGATCCAAGGCCAACAGGCTCTTCCACAAGCCGGTGGGACCCTAGGGACACTGCATCTCTACAGCCCAAGTGACAGAAGAGTAAGCTGAGGCCTTTGTGCTGTAGCCCCTCTGGACTTGGGGGTGGGTATCTCTTCCTGCTTCCAAGTGCCCAGGCTGGTGATGGACACCGGAACCCAGACCCTGTCCTCTCCCAGTGCCCTGGCAACCCCCCTGGGCCCCTTGGGGACCCCTGACCCTCAGCCTGGCCTGTCTCCCCTCCCCATGCTATGGATCTGGGTCCTTGCCAGGAGTCCTGATGCCCTGCCCCATGGCCCAGCTGTCTCCAACCTCATTCTTTCTCCCTTGTGACCCACCTCGCTCCCAGGGTGTCCTCCCCTTCTGACCCCCAGCTGGGCAGTCAGAGTGGTGTGTGTGTGTGTGTGGGGGTGTGTGTGTGGGGGGTGGGTGTGCAGGTGCACATGCCTCTACGTGCCTGGGGATGCCAAGGTCATGTCCCCACATGGGACGGGGTGGGTAGCTCTTCCTGAGGATCTGAGGGGCTCTCACCCCCAAAGCGAACCTCATGGGAGGGTTGGGACTGGCCTAGGACTGGAGAGCAGCTCCTTGGACTCTGCACCCCTCAGTTGTCCTGGGCCAGTCCCTGCCTCTCTTGACCCAGGTTCCCAACTGTCCCTGAGGGTCGGACATGGAAAGGCTTGAACGTGGCTGCTCTTCCAGGGGTAGGTGGGGGACAGGTGCACCAGGCACGCAGGCCTCCCCACCGAGAGGGCCAGCCAGGTGTGTCATGGCCAGGTGTGCACAGACGACCTGCCCTCAGCTCCTGTACCATGACCCAGCCCTGCGGCAGATGTGCACGAGACCCATGGCTCCGCACCTGACCGGTCCCCCGCGTTCCCTCACCACCTCGGAGACAAGGGCTCTTCTTCGTCCTAGGGCCCGTCATCCTTCGGACAATGAGAGCAGAGGGATCCGTATCTAGAGGAGGCCGGCAGGGCGTCCCACGGAACGTTGTGTGCCCATCTCTGCTTTGTCGTCTAGGCTTACCGGCGGACCCCCACCTAGAAAGAGGCCCGCGGGGCAGGGACATTTGTCTGCCCTGTTCCCTGAATTATGGAAAATGTCTAGAAGGGGCTTCCTGTCCATTTGTGGAGTCAATGAAGCCCAGCCAGCACCTTTCAGATGTCTGAGTGGCTCTGGGGCCCCTCTGCCAGCCCCCAGGGATCCCTGCTCTGGCTCCACCCAGGATGGGAGCCCCAGATGGAATCTGAAACCTCCTCACAGCCAGGAATGCGGCTTTGCCCCGGACACAGGACACCGAGGCTTGGGGCAGAGAGCTCCTTCACGGTGGAGAGGAACCGCCTCAGCCCCAGGCCACCCTCCCCGTGGGCCGGCCACAGGGTCGGGGAGCGGTCCCACCAGGCCCAACGGCAACCCCGTGTGTGGGGCCTGGCCTCGTGGCACACAGGGTCCCCAGGAGACACCTGAGGTTCGGAGAGGGGACGTGCCAGGCCCGAGACACACAGCCCGCAGGTGAGGGGGAGCCTCCGGGCGGGACGGGGGGCCCTGCTCACCTTTGTGAGCAGCAGGTGTGGGAAGGGCTGAGGAGGCGTTCCTCTGGGAGGTGCTCCGGGAGAGGGGCCACAGGAGAGGGCCTGGCCCGGCTCCACCAGCTTCCTCAGGCTGTCAGCACGGACCGCCCACAGCCTCTGGCTCGCCCCCAGCGGCAGGGCCCACTCAGGTTCACGGTGGGGCTGATCTTTGGATAAAGGAGGGACAATTCACAACACAGAAACTGCAAAACTATTCCTGTCCGTGTCCTGAAGTGCAACAGAATATCCAAATTGGTTCGGATCATCGTCCACGTATGTGAAGGGTGATTTTGTACCTGGCCAAGGCTGGGGCTGGACCGGGTGTGTGTGTCTGTGTGTGAAGGACCAGGTGTGTGTGTGTGTGTTTGAAGGACTGGGTGTGTGTGTGTGTTTGGCGTGTGTGTCTGTGTGTGTGTGTCTGTGAAGGGAGCAGCCCAGACCCCTTGGGTTGAGATCATGGCCACGTAAGGGGCACAGCTGTCGTGGCACCCCAGGTCGTCAGTGTCCCGGATGGCATTGGGGCAGGAGACCGTCCCGGCCCTCCCCGAGCCCGGTCCTGGAGCGCCCTCGTCCCCACACTCCCCCTGAGCCCGCACCAGCCCTTACCGACTGCCTGGTGCACGTGCCCCACGCCGGGGAGCCGTAGAGTGAGGCTCCTGTTGACCAGCTTGTCCCCAATTTCTTCCATGGGGCTCTGCGAAGACAGTGAGCGGCGCCCGGCCCGGAGGCATCACAGCCCTGCCCAGCCGTCCTCACCGTCCTCCTGCCCAGCCCCACTGCTGCCCCCAGATCAGACACAGCCCCGTGCGGGCACAGCCCTGCGCCCGGGGTGCAGTGACATGTATCGACAGGGCTCCGGATCAACCCTGGGGAGAAGGAGGCCGCCCCAGCACACCCCGTCCCACCCAGCCAGCCTTGACCCGGGGTGTCAACATGATCCACCCACCAGGCATCTGGCCCCTCATCACCCTGCTCCTGCTCAGGGTGGGCTACCCTGCCTGAGACCTCTGCACACACACACACACACACAGGAGGGGCGCTGGGCTGCACGGTCGGATCACAGCGGTGTCTGGCTGGCCTGGCTGGCTCTGGGCCTCCCTGTGTTCCCTTTGGGCCCTTCCAGGCAAATGGCCAGAGGTGTCAGGGGTGGGACCTGACCCCAGGTCTGCAGTGTAGGCAACGGCTCTCACTGTCGGCTTTGCTGAGACCACATCCTGGGGACATCGGGATACAGCAGGATTGCAGCATCTCCAGCCAAGTGAACTGAGTAGGAAGGGGGCTGTCTCTAGAATGTGGGTGCCTGTGACAGCCCTTGGGCATCTTGGGGACGCCCTGGCCATCAGCCTGGCATGTCTCCCCCGAGCCCCATGCTACGGCCCCGGGCATGTTCCCAGGAGACAATGCCCACAGCCCACGGCCCAGCTGCCTCCAACCTCCTCCTTCTTTCCCCCTTGTCCCCTCCAGGGTCCACGCCCCCTTGGACGCCCCTGGGGAGTTTTTGTGTGTGTGTGTGTGTGTGTGTGCGCGCGCGCACGCACAGAGCCTTGGGTGTACGTGTGCCCGCGCGAGGGTGACCAGAGGAAAGGGCCCAACATGGGAGTGTGGGCAGGGGTCCCCCGGATCTTAGGGGCCCTCGTTCCCAAAGGAAACCCCATGCGAGGTGAAGCTTGGCCTCGGAAGCTGGAACCCTCCCTGTTCCTCTAGCCTCTGCTCAGCTGGTGGGTCCCAGGCCAGTCCCTGCCTCTCCTGCCCACAGTTTGCCGACTGTCCCATGAGGGCTTGGAGGAGGAACTTCATTAGCGTGGCTCGGCGTGGCCGGTCGGCTCCCACCTTTTGGGTGGACGTGGCGCAGGTGCACTCTGGGTGGGCGGGGCCCTCCCACCAACGGTGGGTCGGAGGCAGGTGGATCCTGCGCAGGCGCACACGGCCCAGCAGACAGCGCCTGCGTGGGACCCCACCTGCCAGCAGGCCTGCGCAACCCCGAGGGGCTGTCTGTGGCCTTGGTCCTCCGTGTCCCGATCTCCACTGCCTGCTCAGTGACCCTCACGTCCTCTTAGGCCGGGGGCCAGCCCCAGTCCCGCCAGGCAGGGCCGCTGGACTGAGTGGACATGGAGACCTGGGGACTAGAGAGAAATGAAATATACCCCCGCTGCCGTCCTGGCCCCCACATTCCACTTCAGTGTGCGTCTCAGTGCATGGCGGGGGGGTCAGGGGAGGGCGATGGGGACACGTGTGGGCAGGGAGGAGGTCAGGCCGCCTTTTCCTCCTCTACACCCCCTCCCCCTGTCTTCCTGGCAGCAGCCCCTCTCCCCAAAATCCGGCACTCAAACACCTTCATCTCCCTGCTTTAAACCCCCACCCATCCTCCTGAGGTGGGAGTCACTGACCCCATCTCCAAAGTAGAAAACTGAGGTCCCGGGAGTTCCCACAGGAGCTTGCCAGTCACAGGGCTGTGACATGGCCCTGCTGTGGGTTTGAACCCAGCTCAATCTGACCCAAAGCCTGAGCTTACAGAGGAGCCGGAGGAAGGAGCCTTTGAGCCCAGGCTTGGAGGTGAGGCCATCCTGGATGGGGGTCATAGGGAGGGACGGCAGGGCTTCTGAGGGGCAAATTCTTGCCGGGCTCCCTGGGGGACGAAGGCCCTACAGAGGCTGGAGTGGGCTGAGGGGTGCACACTGGGGAGCATGTCTAGACCAGATCACGCAGGGCTCTCTGGATATTGGGCAAGGAGTCAGGGGACACTGCAGGTTGGGGGGTTCAGGGGACACAATCCGGGCAGTCTTACCAGAGCCACAGCATCGTAGATTTAGAAGGAGCTTGGTGGGCATGTTATTGTCCCCACCCAAGCATGGGGATCACCAAGCAAGCACCAGCCGGAGGTGAGGAGGTTGCCGCAGTTTCCTCCTGTGTAGAGTGGGGGCCGTGGTGGTCGTCTGCGTCCTTCCAGGCCTGGGCATGCTGCCTGGAAGGTCCAGAGGTGGCTTCGTCAGAGTAGCTAGCTGTTCCAGTGAGGTCAGTACTCAGAGACGTCTGAGTCAGGAGACCAAAGGGATGCCCCACGTGCCCAGTTCAGCAGGATGCTCTTGTACATGGTGCCGATCTTCATGTCCAGGCTGATGGGGTTGAGGCAGCAGTGCCCACCTGCTGCATGGAGAGCGGCAGCGGGGACCTGTGGTTGCAGACCCCGAGACACGGCGCTCGTGTGAGTCCGAGGCTGCCACAGATGTGATGGAGGCTGAGGAGGGGGAGGTGCTGACAGAGGCTGAGATGATGCCTGAGGTCTCCAGCGATGACTGGGAGGTCAACTCCGGAACTTGAGGAACGGCAAGGCCAGCAGAAACACCAGACTGTGTAAGGCAACCCCGGTCAGCATCTAGCCCAGAAGCTTCTAGAGACTGAGTCTTCTTGGCCCCTTGTGGCTGTGGAGTGGGGACCCAGGCTCCAGGAAGGGATGTCTGTCAGGGAGAAAGGGTGGGACAGTCACCTCCTTTTCCTGGCCATCAGGGATCCTGGAACAAAACCCACACTAATGTCGTCCACATCTACATCGGGCTGGAGGAGCATGTAGAGCGGGTAGGCGATGTCCCTGCTGCGCAGGTAGGGGCTGCATCTGAGCTGGTCCCAGGACTTGGAGTGAGCGCTCCTTTTGGTCTTGGGTGTTGTGTTGGGGGTGCGGTGGCAGAATTGAAGGGCTGACTTTGCATTGATCCGACACCCTGGGTGAATGGGTGCTCTAGGGTGTCCATGGGCACAGGTGGCTGTGACCCACACATGGGAAGGTGTGAAGGAAGCACACAGAAGACAGTGCCCTGAGCTATGCAGGTTTTCTGCTCATGGGCAGTGCTCCTTGGCAAAATTCAGCTAGTCTGCTTGTTCCTAGAGCACAGAAGGCCCCTAAGGTCGTGAGTGGTTCATGGGAAGTCAGGTCAGTCTGTTGCTGGGCATCATGCCTGGCAGGAGGAGAGCTTCAGCCTGAAATGATGGTCTGGGGGTGATCTGGAATGCCAGGTGAGGTAGAAATTGCCCAGGTAGCCTGATCCACTCCAGTCTGTATTGCTTCTCTACCCAACAACCCAGACCTAGACAATGGCCCTCTGGCTGGCTGGCATCTGGAACAGTTAGAACGTTCCTCTGGTTCAGTCGAAGGAGAAGATCAAAGTTAGTAGAGCAAAGGAAACTATGAAGATTAGGGCAGAGATAAATGGAAGAGAAGAGCACGTGAGAAAAATCAGTGAAAACAACAGTTCTTTCTTTTGCAGATTTACCAAAATTGACAAAGAGACAAAAATGGAACCACTTTATACCAACCAATTGGCTCCCTGAGATGAAGCAGATCATTCTGAGAAGCACACAAACTACCAAAGTGACTCCAGAAGAAATGGAAACCCTGAGCAGACCTATAATAAGTAAATAGACTGAAGCAGTCATGGGAACTTCCCAAGAATGGAAAGTCCAGAACCTGATGCTTTCCCTGGTGATTTGGCCCACACGTTTAAAAAAGACATGATACCAATCCTTCTGAAAGTCTGAAAGAAGTACAAGAGGAGGGAACACTTCCCACGTCACCCTAGAATGCCAGCATTGTCCCGATTCCAAAGACTGACAAAGACCTTACAAGAAAAGACAGTTGCAGGCCAAAATCCATTATGAAGAGCGAGGCAAAAATCCTCAACAGAATTCTAGCAGACAGAATCTAGCAGCACATTGACAGGACTCTACATCATGACCAAGTGTGATTTACACCGGGAATGCAAAGGCTGTTCAACGTAGCTAATCAGTGCCCTAGACCACATCCAGAAGAAACATGATCATGTCAATTGTTGTAGGATAAGCTTTGACAAAATCCAAACCTTTTCATAACAAGTATTCTCAATAAAATAGAAATAGAAGATTCAATTGTGATAAAGGAGAGGTGCCTGGGTGGCTCAGTGGGTTGAGTGTCCAACTCTTGGTTTGGGCTCAGGTCATGATCTCAAGAGTCTTCAGATTGAGCTCTAGGGAGAGCTCTGCACTCAGTCGGGAGTCTGCTTGGAGATTCTCTCCCTCTGCCCCTCCCCACTCTTGGGTTTGCATGCTCTCAAATAAATAAATAAATAAATAAATAAATAAATAATTCTTTAAAAATTATGATAAAGGATATTTATGAAAAACAACTCATATGTATATCATTCTCTGTGGTGAAAGACTGAGAGTTTTCTCCTTAAAATCCCCAAAAAGTCAAGGATGCCCATGTCCACCACTTCATTTCAATATTGTCATGGAAGTTTGGT